CTTTTATACGTTCCAAAAATCAGGGAATACAATCCTAGCCCGAGCTGGTATAGTAATCAATTTATCATGAGAAGTCATACATGAGAATTCTCGAAGAATCTCCTAATTCTTCAATATATGCCAATGTGAATTCTCAATCATTTTTCGCATCATAATTGAACCGAGATGCTCAATCGGTCATATCAACTGATATTTATTTCAATAAACATCTAATTTACTATGGCATGTGATTCCACCATCATGCTTAAACTTGTTTAGTACGAATAGAAGGAAAATCGGGTAACCTTTATATATACCCGGTATGATTATAGTAATATGAAGATATTCAATCTTCCTTTCATTTATAGTCTCAATATGCCAACCACTTTGGCTAATATATTTGAAACTCAAAAAGTTCCTTTTGAGACTTACTACACTATCAATGTCATGAACAATTTCATTCATCCGGTTAGTAACAAATTAGCTTTTCCGGAGCTCTTAATTGATTTTGTACTACAAGATCTTTTGTCACACCATCCATATGGTGAATGTCTCATGTACTACAAGATCTACATGAGAATTCTCGAAGAATCTCCTAATTCTTCAATATATGCCAATGTGAATTCTCAATCATTTTTCGCATCATAATTGAACCGAGATGGCCAATCGGTCATGCCAACTAATATTTATTTCAGTAAACATCTAATTTACTATGGCAAGTGATTCCACCATCATGCTTATACTTGTTTAGTACGAATAAAAGAAAAATCGGGTAACCTTTATATATACTCGGTATAATTATAGTAATATGAAGATATTCAATCTTCCGTTCATTTATAGTCTCAATATGCCAACCACTTTGGCTAATATATTTGAAACTCAAAAAGTTCCTTTTGAGACTTACTACATGTGATGACCCGAAATGTTATTTTTATATTTAATAAGTAATTATGTGTTCTAAGACCTCAAAAAAGTACTAATTATCATTCGTCGACTTGCTTGCGCAGTCCGTACAATTTTTCTAAAAGTTTTTATGTGAAAAATAGATTAAAAGGTGAAATAGAGCTTTAAAACTCAATTGAGTTGACTTTGGTCAATATTTTGAGCAAACGAACTCGGATCAGTATTTTGATAATTCCGATAGGTCCGTATCGTGATTTGAGACTTGGGCGTATGCCCGAAATCGAATTCCGAGGTCCCTAGCCCGAGATATAGAATTTTGATAAAAAATAAAAAGCTTGAAAGCTTAATGATTTTTAAGAAATTACTGATATTGGATTTATTGACACCGGATCCGTATTTTGGTTCCGGAGCCCGGTATAGGTCCACTATAATATTTATAACTTGTCTGCCGACTTTGGTGAGAATCAGAGTTGATTTGTCGTGATTCGGACGTCTGGTTGTGAAAATATAAGTTTTAAAGTTTTTTTGAAAATTTCCTTTGATTTGGTGTCCGATTCATAGTTCTAGGTGTTATTTTGACGATTTGATCACGCGAACAAGTTCGTATGATGTTTTAGGACTTGTGTGCATATTTGGTTTGGAGCCCCGAGGGCTCGGGTGAG